CAACACATCAAACTTTGAGGACTCATTCAAACCACAGAATGAATGTTTACATTCTTTAACACAGTATCTTGACATCACAACTGAATATTAGTGGTTACAGAAGCCCTGTATGTTATCTGTCATTTTTTTCTGTGAAATGTGAATATACTGACCTTACAATGTACTTGGGAGCCCAATTGTATGTGTGGGAGCTGCAATGAAGAGGAAAGTAAGGGGGTTTGCTTAGCTGTGTGGGAGGGTAAACAGTGAAGAAAGCAGACCCTCCTTTCTCCTCTCTGTTTTTTATGGCTTCCAATCTTGCTCTCCATCTCCCTCCCCTCACCCTTGCTGATGGTCCCCTGGGCTTCCGTGGCAGGCCTGGAAACTGGCGCATAAAACTTCTTGGCTGAGGCAAGTGGTCTAAACCCCAAAGTGTGGTCTCACGGGACAGAAAGGGATGCAGAGGTAAAAGGGCTGAAGGTCTGTAGGCAGTGAACCTCTCTGCTACGCACGTGCCTGGTAGCGGACCGCACTGGGGAGGCACAGAAAGCTCCCTGCAGGTTCCAAATGAGCCAGAGAGCTGCACACAGGAGCCATGGAAGGAACTGTCCTTCCAAATGGCCATGGCCCATGACCAGAGCCCAGGGAGACAGAGAAGAGAGACCGGAGAGAGCCAAAGCTCTGTGTGTCCCCTAAGCCTCCAGCAAGTGGAGACACAGCAACAATTAGCGTGATACCTGTCCACGGGCGACTCACAAGGAACCCCCCTGCTATGCACAACGGACAATACAAATGCCAAACTGTGCCGGGCTGCACTTCAGTTTTCTCCAGCCTAGGTGGACGTGGATCCATGATTCACAGCGTTCCTGCGTTCACAGGAATGTCCCAAGGCCGGCTCCTCCTTCCCACCCACGAGAGAGACAGTGTTACTTCAGCTCCACCCCGCACTCTGCCATCATCCACTGTCTTTCCTTCCCACAGCATCAACATCTCTGCTGGCTTTTGCCTCCAAATCTAAACCTGCTGTGCCCTCCCCGCCTCAAAACTCCATTACCCCACTGTGTCCCTGTGGGAAGTCAAAAAAAGTTCCTCTTCAAAGTTTCCTTTCTTGTTTAAGAAAAATTCTATTTTTTTTTTTTTTTTTTTTGAGACGGAGTTTCGCTCTTGTTACCC